GCTCGTATCAAAGATATCTCGTCGAATAAGAGCTTCTCGGTTAAACTGTAACTGAAGTCTGAAGTTTAAAGTTAACTTTCTTCCTACGCTGTACATCTCGACAGTGTAAGTAGAGCCATCTTTGTTTGAACCAGTACGCATTTGTGCCTAATTCTACTCCAGCGGTCGAAAGTACCCATCTGTACGTGCCAGGTTTGTGGCCACAACCCAGCCGACCCTTTCCCGGATCCCCCTCGGCCCCCACACTGCTCAGTAGTATCACTTAAAAGGTGTTTGCCGGCAGTACTGTGTAGTAACTCTGGTTACTGTGCATTTATTTAGTACTTGATTATACAAGCACTAAATAAATGCACAGTAACCACTACTGCACAGTAGTGTCTTGTGTAGACGCGCCCAGGATGGAGGGCACATGGAGCAGATGTGGCATGCTTCATTGTGGCACTCCCTGCTGGTGTCCATGAAGTGTTGACAGTCCCCAAATGGGTTGTTTATCATTTTTGTTCATTTTGCATTATTTTGAAAAATGAAGGAAGAAAATGTTTCTTAAAAAAATTAAGAAAAAAGGGTCCCAGGACGTATATTTTCCATGAAGTTCCTGCTCCTGGCTTCCATTTTTTCTTCAGAAGAAAGAACATAGAGCATATGGTTTCCATGAGAAAAGATCAGAAGAGTGAGACTCATACTGGAACATGAAGCATTTGAACTGAGACACAAAATGGCAGGTGCCTCACAACTGCAGGTAGGGAGATTGATCTTTATATAAAGGTTCATCATAGAAAATACAAAACTGTCACATCTTACTTCAGTGTATGCCCAGGTAAATCACTATGACCTCATTTATTAGGGAACATCAATACTGGACAACCCCTAAACTGGCAGATCTAAAGAGCAAATATCTAGATGATATTGGTATGCAAATTATACTGTACTTAAATGCCTGGTTTTGGCTTTTGAGTGCCAGATTTGTAAAGGAAATGCTGAGCATTAGGAGATGCTGTTAAAAATGACTGAAGTCATCAGGAACTTATACACAAGATAGAAAGAGAGAGAGAGAGAGAGAGAGTGAGATAATACATATATACCTACATACATAATTTGTTTCAGGATCATTCCCCTAGTGCAGCATTTTGAGCATATCTCAGCTGGGGAAAATAAAAAACTGTATTTCACAGCTGTGATATCATTCTCACAAGTGATATTTCAACAAGAGCTGCAATAAAACCTCTCCCATGACATCAGAACTGTGAAATATTGCTGACTTCAAGTGCTGAAAACTCCCTCTCAGGAATAATTGTTTCCTGGCAATTGACATTTAGAGGACTGATCCTTTAAATGCTTGGTGCAGGCCTCATTTATGTTATTCTGCTCTCGACAGAGCTGCTGAGGAAGTGTTATGTACAGAAAAATGGATATAATGCCCCTTTGCAGGATTTGTGCATGGGGTAATGAAAAGAATGATGGGGATGCCTGTAACAGGATGATTTCCACTCCTTCGTACCCCAATGACCCAGCCAGACTGCACTAACAACAGAATAATGAATCTGTTCATATGCTCTGCTCCGTACCTCAGACCCATCCTCCCCAGTAAGGGGAACCATGTGCACACAACCAGAACTAACTCATCACCAGTCTTTTCACAGCTGCACTCAGAGCAAATATCATGACAAGCATGCTGTTAAATGGCAGCTTGCCAGAGCTGTGAACAGCCATGGCACTAATTAACTCACCTGTGCAGTTTGCAAGCACGCTCCAAAGCTGACTGTCAGGAAGATGCCTAAGAATAAAATGAAAGTTGAAAACATGATGTGAGATGGATTCTTCTATTTTATGTAACACCAGAGGGAGCATACCCTCTAGAGCAGAACAAGCTTAGAGATGGTGCATGAAGAGGAGGGTATATTGGCAGAGTGGTGAGTTGGGAGAGCTAAATGAGTCTAGAGACGTAGGGACCAGAAGGAAATTTAAATTGCACCGGCTGCAATTCCTCCTGGATTCACCTCTGAATTTGACCCTGTCTTCCCATCTAACTGCCTTTGAGTTTGTCCCTATTAGGGCTTTGGATCCGGAGAAGCTTTGGATGCTTCGGGGTCCAAAGCAGCACATCCAGGTTGAAACGCTGGCCTCATTCACCTTCCCCAAGTGATTCGGAGCTCCTGAAGAGCTTCGGAGCCTCCTTGGAGATCCGGCCATAGGGTATAATGGGGAAACAATAAAATATCTATCACTTTGCGATTTTTTGTCCAATTTGGATGCAATTTTCAGGGTGGTAGATTCTGCAGAGAGGATATCATCTGCCAAGTTTCAAAAAGATAAGTGCAGGGGTTTGGGAGAAACAGCACCCCAAATTCTTGAAAGCAAAACTCATGTCATGTCTAGGTGTTACAATATAGCATGGTAAAAAATGCAGAGGTGGTAGCCTATGCTGAGACCACAAAGTCTGCCAAGTTTCAAGAAGATCGGTGCAGGGGTTTGGGGGCAACTGTACCCCTAATTGTTGGAAGCAAAACTCCTGTCACGTCTATGTGTTACAACAAGGTGGGGGGGGGGGGGGGTCAAAGCTGCAGGGGTGGTAGCTCTTACTGAGACCGCAAAGCCTTTCAAGTTTCAAGAAGATTGGTGCAGGGGTTTGGTGGGAACTGCCCCTCGAGCTACAGACAAGCAAAACTCGTGCCATGGGTGCTTGTGGGACTGACTGTCCCACAAGCACCCATGGCTTGGGGCGGGGAGGGGAGACACTACTGCAGGCCTGGCTGCTAAGCTGCTGCGTTACCAGTTACCAATCAAGCAATTATGATTCACTCCGGGACCAGGCTACTACATAACGACTTAACAAGCATCAATTAGCACCTACAAAACCAGGTTAAGGAGAGGAAAGAATCAATACGGACAATCAACTGCCCCAGGACAGACACAGTTTTGGCACGAATTTTGCGTGTCAGCAGCTAGGGGTGCTGGGCCCCAGAACCCCCCTGCACTGATCTCCTCCACAGCTGGCAGGCGTCGTGGCCGCAGCAGGGGCCACCACCCCTGCAGCTGTCACCCCGCTGCACCTTAACACACGCAGGGTCACCCATGGCATGAGTTTTGCTTGTCCACAGCGTGGGGTGCAGTTCCCCCAAAACCCCTGCACCAATCTCCTTGACACTTGGCAGGCTTTGTGGTCTCAATAAGAACTACCACCGCTGTAGTTTTGACCCCCCTGTGGTGTAACACACACCCGTGAAAGGAGTTTAGCTTTCAAGAATTTGGGGTACAGTTCCCCCCAAACCCCTAAACCAATCTTCTTGAAACTTGGCAGGTTTCATGCTCTCAGCAGAGGCTACAATCCCTGCAAGTTTCATCCAAATTGGACAAAAATCCACGAAGTGATAGATCTTTCATTGATTCCCCATTATACCCTATGGCCGGATCTCCGAGGCAGCTTCGGAGCTGCTTCGGCCGGATCAAGGCGGAAACCCGGTCTGGAGCTCCAGATCAGATCATGGCCATCCAAAGCGGCTGGATCTGAAGCCGGATTGGATCGCTACCGATTCGCACAGGCCTAGTCCCTATCCCTTTCTAATAGCTCATGCATTTATTTACAGATGTAAATACCTTAATGCATTCTAGCTACATTCCTCCCCACTATTTCTTATGCTCCCTGACTTTACCTCCATTCAGTGGGACTTCTTTTATTTCTGTTGTAGAAAGGGTACATGTAGCCAGTGGCTCTTTTCTCTTACTGCTACGGCTGTATGTTTTAGGGCCCAAATTTTTTACCAGCCTAAACAGACACACCTTACATGGTCTGTGTAGCCAAACTGTTCCTGTTTGTGGAAGCCCTATTAATGATCATTAGAACTAGAGGTTCTTGGTTGTAGCTGTGGTGGTCTAAGGACATAGGCAGACAAAGTTCCTTGGGTAAATGTGGTGTCTTTTACGAGACCCACTATATAGCTGGGAAAAATTGTTCTTCACAAGCTTTTGAGCACGAACATCCTTCTTCAGGCAATTAGAACCAGGTGCATTAATTCTCCAGGCATCAACTCTGTCTCTCAGAATTCAATATTCCCTCTTCACTCTTCCTGTTAAAAATTGAATAGTACAACACCATTTTTTTAACAGGTTAACTTTGTATTTTACCTTGCAAAGCAGTAAAAGGATATTATTTTAACAACCCTGTTCCATTACCAACTCTTCATCTAAAAGTATCAACTGGTATTTCTTTATAGAAAATGATTTAGTGAAAAGAAATGTAAGAGCCTTGGGATTATTTTATACAATTTACTGCTAAGAACAGTGACATACTGAGAACAGTTGCTAAAGCCAGGCATGGTTTATGTTTAACTCCATCACTGAATCTCAAGGGCTAAACGCTACTTGACCTACACCTCTGAAAACTCAAAGACTTTCAGGGCACAAATTGGCTTTTGGAGTAGATACTGTTTGAATACAACTTCACAAAAGGTTTAGCGCAAAACAAAAACAGAGCCTCTCAGAAAAAAATGATAGTTTGGAATCTAGATTCAGCAACATTAATAGTTCCTCAGACTGTTGATGCAAAACCAGGGAAAACTCAAACCATTTCCTCTACATCCCTTTTTAAGTTATGAATATGTTTGGACTGATTCTGGCAATTACCATACTCTGTGAACAATATTTTTTCAGTTTATGGACATTTTTGTGAACTGATCTTTACTTCTTTTGGTATATTGAATATTCTTAATCACTTGCCATATATTATTCACTCTACATGGTTGCTCTCTCAAGTTACATGATTTCAAGTCTGCTCCTTGACTGGATGCCCAAATCTTATTTTTTTTGTTAAATAAGATAATTCCAAATAACATGCATTCATTGTAGGTTGGGTTTGTGGTTTGTTTGTTTTTTGGACAAATAATTATTCATGCTGAAATTCATGAAACTTCAAGGTTTGTGATCATGTTCATGAATACTCAGCAGGTATCCAAATGCTGAATAATAAGAGATGAACCAAATAATTGCTAATGAGACCCCACAAATCACAGTGAAGTAGCTCAGTGCTTTTATCCATGAGAATACCCACATATATATTTATTTAACTGTTTAACTAGCTGTAAAAAGCAAAAATGAAATGTGCACAGTAGGAATCTTGGTAAATTAAAATCTGTAGATAACCCCCTGTAGAATAAAACTGCAGCATATCAGGCAGTCTTAGTGCTCAGGATATATTGACAACTGCATCAATATACCCAGATATTTCACAAATCCTTTCATATGTACTGGTGACCTGGGATAGAATCATGGCCCAAATAAAATGAACACCAAAACTCCTATTGACTTTAGTGGGTAATGTCACACCAGTACAGCAATGCTGTCTTATTCAATATCACACCAATACACCAACAGTATCTTATTCGAGTTTTTCAGTTATATCCATCACATCATATTTTTGTTAGGTTCATTATGTGATGGCACTAGCAGCCTTTGCATGTAGTAATGTGACCCATCTAAGACCACCAAACTCATGTAAACTAATAAGTTGAACCCTGCCTTCCAGGAATTAAAAACATAATGAAGTAAGCGCATCATTTTGGGCTACCAAGATAGTGACTCAAATGAGCATTTTTAAGTAGTAGAAGAAAGAGAAAAAGTAAATAGCAGAACTACTTCCCCCTATTCAACAGAGAAATTACATTCAGTTTATCTGGGGGACCACATGGAGCATCTTAAACCTGAGAGCGGCCTAGCTCTTCGACACTTACAACTGCTCTTCTTCCTTTTGGGTTTATTTGCTGTAACACTGAATAAGTATTTCAGACAGTGCTTGATATATTGCCATTTTTCCTTGCAGGGATTCTTTGAGATTGCAAAGAACATTAAAAACATAAGAAGGAATGAGGAAGGATCCTGTACAGTAAAGTAGATCTCTTTAAGGACAAGAAAGAAATCATTGCTTGGACCTTTTTCTGCTGTCATAATGAGAACTTACCATTGCTTCTGGTTGCTGCTTTGGGTTGGGCAGCACCATCAAAGTTCCTCATCTCCATTATCCAAAAGGACTAGTGGCTTCCCAGTAAAGGAAAAGGTCTTGGAAGTGTCTGGAAATAACAGGAAGGAGCTTAATCGTTCCAAAAGGAGCTGGATGTGGAATCAGTTCTTTCTCTTGGAAGAATACACAGGATCTGACTATCAGTACGTTGGCAAGGTAGGATTCCTTTACACACATCTATGTTCTTATTTGAAAAAAGATTTAGGAAGCCCATTTTAATGAATGTGCAGGACTTGTGTATTGTCCAAATTTAGGAGCTGCTTCTTGTCTGATCAGCTTGTTATGATGAATAGTTAAAGTAGAGAGGACTGCAGAATAAAGCTGTGCTTCAGTAGCAACACAGGGGAATGAAAATGCTCTGATCTAACTAGCATGGTCCACAGACATTTCTTTGTGTTTATTTTAAAGCTTTTGATCTGATCATTGTCTCAAAATCAGAAACATGATCCAGTAGGAAATTCTGGATCACCTGATGTAATATGTTGCCTGATGTAATATAGCATCTCATCACTGACTTCACTGGAATTATTGCAATTTAGACCAGATGAGAATTTGACCTAAAAGGTTTTAACAAAATATACATCTACAATCTATGTGAAGTGATACATTCCCCTTTTTGGAATTAGCCAACACCCAAATTATAAAGAAAGAAGCTCAACATAGAGGTTCAGAGATCATTTTGACAAGAGTTAATTCTCTAATATAGCATAGTATATATAGCTAGTATATTACTAGCATATAGTAATATAGCATCTCATCACTGACTTCACTGGAAGTATTGCAATTTAGACCAGATGAGAATTTGACCTAAAAGGTTTTAACAAAATACTCTGCCTGCCAAAAAGTAACTATTTCACTGCTCATTTCCCACTTCAGCTTGTCTGCCACTGCTATTTTTAATTATATTTTGGAGAGCTGCTGAAATTTTTGTGTTTTGCTTTGGAACACAAAGTATGTAGGGCACTAAAAAAAGAGCATTTGCCACATTAGAAAGAAGCAAAACAGTTAAAACCTTTTTTTTGTGCTCAAAGCATGATAGCAGTGAGGAAAGCGTCTGTAAAAATCACACCTGCTTCCTGGCTATATCTGCTCCCTTTGTGCTGTAGAGTCACATCTGCTACCTTTATTGAGGCTACAGAGTTAACACAATTATGGAAGAGCCAGAGAGATTTTATGCCACCATAGCCACCATCAATAACAGTGCCAATAAGATACAAATGCAGAAACTGTACAACTGGTAACGATGTATGAGGCAGAAAGTGCACAGGTGGTTTTCCTATTCAAGATGGAGCTGTGCCTGGTTTACCCTGGCCATTTAGGACTTCTAGACAATGCAGTTGATCATGGTGGCTCGCCACTTGTTCTCCCCCCAGAGCTCTGCCTATTCTCCTCAGAGCTGCTCCCCATGCCTGAGCTGTTCAGTGTCAGGTGGATGTGACAGCCATCTCCCACTGCACTGCAGAAAGGCATGATTCAAGTGAAAGAAGAGCTAGTCTGCTAGCATTAATAGTGAGGCAACCAGGTGGATCAGCATTCATTAAAAGTCCTTTTGGCTCTCTTCTACAGGAGAAAGCCAAAGGCATCAAGTGGTCAGAGAGGAGGGAAAGAGGAGATGAGAGAGAAAGAGAGCGGAGAATGGAGGAAAAACTTAGGGAAGAGAGGAATCAAGAGGAGAGAGAACCATAGATGATAAAAGAGGGAATGAAATGGGGGGAAAGGGTTGGGGAAAATGGCTGCCCATAAAGAAAACAAAAACACACTGACATCGACTGAAAACCAGCAGAAAGGGAAGAGTAGCAAAAAGAAAAAGCTAAGAAAAACCTGTCATTTGCCCTGTAAATTCTGACACGGAATCCACTCAAATCCCAAGGGCCATGGTTGCTCCATGGTAGACTTCAAGTAACAGTCACTGACTTCAAGTGAGACTGATGCATAACCTTCAGGGGGAGAGAAAAGTATGGCAGAATGAGCTTGACGAGTGGCTGTTAAGAAAAAATAATAATAAAGCCTCTTTGGCCTTGTAAACCAAACAAGTTTGATGTGGAGTCATTGAGAGAGAATAAATGTGGAAGACCATAATGTTATTTTTAGAGTTACTTTTCTGTCCATAACTGGCACTTTAATATACTCACTATTGCAAAGCATGGAAGTGACACATGATATATAAATGTCATCGATTCCATGTCCCTGGGCTGTTCACAAGTGGCCTTTCACACATCCTTCAAGTGCCAGAACTGCTCTCCCTCTTGTAATTGAACAATTAGCCAAAAGGCAGTAAAGACCAGCTATTTATTATTTGACACAGTTGAATATTTGAGTGAGACTAAAGCATGGGAATATCTGAAGAATATATAATTTAGGTAACCAAGCAATTTAACTGAACCAGTGGTTTTCAACTTTTTTTTCATTTGTGGCCCCTAAAAAATTCAAATGAAGGTATGGACCACTTTGGAAATTTTCAATGGAAGTGTGAATTGTAAGTATGGGTATTCATATACTTTTGATTGATCATCATCATCTTTCACAGACTCCTTAGACATAGTCTGCAGACCCCCAGAGGTCTATGGACCACAGGTTGAAAGCCTATGAACTAAACAATTACAAATGTCTGGTGTGGGCAAATGAGGATAATGAATGTAGACCCTGGCTTTCCTGTCTCTTGGTTGGGTGCTTGAACCTCTCAGCCATCAGGGCATAATTATGGGCAGACCCATATCCTCCTCCTCATTTTTGGGGGGTCACTCTGTCTGTGAAATAGGAGCTACATTAAGAGGATCAGCTAACAGACTGCAGGATTGAGAAGAAAGAATAGCTTAATTGGTGGAACATCAAAACCATTATAAAAAGAAGGAAGAGTTGTTAACACCTGTGGAATGAAGAGTTTAGAAGGAATCAGATAGATTATAATGAACCATGACATTAAGTGCTTCCCTCAGTGCTGCCTGAATAGAAGTGCTGCTGCCAGTTGGTTTTAAATGTTGGGTGGACCAGGAATTAAAAGGGGGTGTGACTCTACCACTGCACCCCCCTGCCCTGGGTCCACCCTTCTCTGGCCCTTATTTAGATACTTAAAGGCACTGAACTCTTCTGAGAATTGGGATACAGATTTGTTTGTGGTGAGCACTTGAAAATCAGCCCTCATTACTAATATATCACACAGGATATTGCAGCTGCTGCCTCTAAGAAATTCCTGTCAACATTGTAAGAATTGCTCATATGCACTGGCCACATAAGCAGATCCACCAGTTCTGGTCTGTGACTATGAGTCTTATTCCTGCATATTCAAGTAATGAAGCCTAAAAAAAAACCCACCCCACTGTCGGTTAGTCTCAGACATAATCACATAAGAAACTCTGAGAAAAGTTCTTGGCTGGAATTATTCATTGTGCTGCTGAATAACTTGTGAGCTGAGGCTATTAATTGGAGTGTGATTGATGGGTATAGTGACATTTTAACTTGAAGATTTCTCTTCTTCTGGTTCAGGAATTATGACACTTGGTAGGGGCTCAATCCCAAAATAAAATAAAAGGATCATAGGAGCATAAAAGTACAGAGGTGCCCAGCACTACTCTACAGCACTAATCCAAAATATTGTGGTTCAATTTTTAAAAAGAAATTGATCATACCAGTAGCTACTCAGTGGGATTTAAAAGGTTTAGGGGATGTACTCGTTTAAAATCATAGGGGGAATGTGAGTGTGGGCACAGCCAAGGAGATTTGCCCATTATGTGGTGGTGAATGAAGATATTTTCCTTAGCACAATCTTCATAAATAATAGATACTGTGTCTGTATGTGGTAGATCCTTTAAAAGACTTTACCGCTGACTACATACAGCTGAACAAAAGATGCATCTGTTCATTGACCTCTGACATGAATAGGTTTGTCAGAACCCAAACTTACAAGTTGTTGCCAAATAAGGGAATATGATGCCTTTTCTTTTCGACCAAGGAAAGTTCTAAACAAACCCTAAATCTTATTTATTAACCAAGATATAGCTTTTGGCAGCCCGCAGTGGAAAAGAACTACTTACTTTCTTGATAACATGGAGGACAACCGTAGAACAGCTTTGTCACATTGTTAGTCTGTCACCAATAAGGACTGCTAGCCACAGTTTTGCTGTGTCTTATTGATGGTCACATAATTTAAGCAGCAGGCTTGCCTGCAAGATATCCAATGTTAGTACCCCCATACACTCCATCATAAACTATCATCCTCTACTGACAATTTCATTTTTTCTAGAGAGATAAAGTCAGAGTTCTTCATCTACTGTGTTTTTGGCAGTGCATAAAGACTGTTGCCTTACTTTGGCCAAAGTTAGAATCTTTTTCTTTAGTTTCTGTTACTACATCCTTGGCTGTAATGGGAAGTACCTTTAGGACAAACAGATTCTGTTCTACACTGCTTTTTCTTTTCATTATGGTCCTTCTGGGGATAAATGTGATACAACACCAGTGATAGTATGTTTCCCTAATGATTTAGCATTTTCTAGGAAACCACAGAAAGAAAAGGCTGGGCCAATCTGAACTATATCAAGAGGTAACATTCAGGCTGTGTGTCAATAAATAACAAGTAATATTTTTGTTGCTGGCACACAAAAAGGTCTGTTTGGATATCAGTGGTTATCACATAGCATAAGTTGGGCTACTATGTTTCAGAAAATGACTCAGGTACTCCAGAAGTTAAATGGTATCATCTGTTAACTGGACAACATAACAGCAATCAGGAGACTTCTTTGTTTCCCCTCTTCTGTCATCCTGTCCTTGGCACTGAAATTCTCATTATAATTCCCTACAGAAAAAACAAGATGTGAAAATTCAAACGAAAATGCTATTATTGGCATCTGCACATTTTAGTACATTCAATACATTTTTTTTGCTGGCAGCGGTTTCCTTCATTATTTATGTTTCCAGCTTATAACTAACACTGTGATTTACTCTTTGTTTCCAGTTTCCTGTTACAAAATACTGTTACTGTTTGTTGACTTAGAGAGGCCCAAAAGAAAAGATTATTTTGCTCATTCAGTGCAGCTATTTAAAGGGTTTTAGATTTATCCTGATGCTTTTTGTCTCCAGTGTTAATGCACATTTGCTGGGTTAGAATCTGCACCCTGCCCTGAGGAAGTAAAGCACAGAGCCCAGGAAGTAGGAAGGCTTAG